AAACCTAAAAGTGTGTGATCACTCAGGCTGTTGCTGAAAAGGTATTCACACATCCTTTAATTAATGAACTTGGATAGTAACAGGATGGTTAGCTGGTTATGGATTTTTGTGCTTGATTTCTCTGATTAACTAAGAATTGCCATACATGCCATAAATGGATTATTATTTTTGAAATATTTGGTTTAATTAAATATGCTGAGCATCAAAACTATATTAGCATGATTTAATTTTTTATGATGATTCCCAAAGTGGATGAGAAACTCAGGACTTTAAGGGTCACCACCATTATTAATGCCACTGAACCCAGAGTATAGTTCTAGATAAAGAACTGAAAATAGCCTGACCCTTGTAAACATACAGTTTTATGCCATAAATTACTTCAGAGAAAATGCATCCCTCTTATCTTATAGATGAGGAAATAGGCCCAAGGAGAGAGTGACTTACTTAAAGTTACAGGTGGAATTAATGGGAAAAGAAAACATACCTAATCTTAGAAATTTCTTTTGGGGACTGATAAAACCCTGGTTTTAGTTTAGTGTTGTTGTTTTTTTAACTTGTTAGTTGTCTTTTTCTTATGTTGTTATAAACTTACCTTTGTCATAGCTCCTAACTACCCCCTGCTGATCTTCTCCCAAGCTTTCTGGTTTCCAAGTAAACTGGACAATATTTCCATGTCATACTTAAGGATATAATTAAAATTCAAGTTATAGGCAGGAAATATATAATGTAATTGTAAGAACATGTTCCATGGTCTTGAAATGGGATAATAATATTTTTTTCCTATGGCATATTAGTATCTGACCAAAGAAAAAGAATGAAATTATTTAATATAAATTCAGAATAATAAATTATTTCAAAGTGAAGGTTTGATTTCAGAGAACAAAAAACCTTTGTTATTTCTCTATTAATATCAGTGCATTTGAAGATTAAAATTAATTGCAGATATCTACATCCTGGAAGAGAAGTGGCTAGCATTTTTACAGAGAACTCATTTAACAGAGTTAGAAATTAGCACATTCTCAGTTACTTCTTACCTACACCCAGGAAACAGGAGTAGAATTCCTCTATTTGTTCTTGCTTTGAAGAGGAAAACTTTAGAACTATAAATGATGAGCCTCCATTTTATAATTATAAATCTATCCATGCCTTCCAGGACAGTTATATCTGATTTCTTTCCTTTCAGACGTCTCTGCCTTTTTCTTTTTTGGAGGCAGCAGGTTTGGTCCCTACCTCATTGCTTTAGGGAGCTGCAAAGTTACCTTTATGGTCCCTCTCCTAACTCTAACCAGTCACAGTCTCTATGAAGGGGGGACACTCAGCTCTGTCAGAAAGTGTGCTACTTCTAAATATCTAAAATTGGATGTTTTCATCTTTGAGTCAGTTCAAACAAGGAGAGGAAGTAATAGGAAGAGTGCTAACATTTACTGATTCTTGTTTGCCAGCACTTGGTTGAACTTTGGAGATACAAAGATGAAAGAGCTCCTTATGAAGCACAAAGTCTGGATGGGAAAGAAACCATGTAATCCAATTTAGTGATTTAAGGTCTGTAATGGATCAGAAAAGACTTCATCTCTAGAGGAGATAATATATTGGTTCTGCCCTTTATAATAACTGTGACAAGACCTGAATCTTAATGGATGAATGTGTAGTGGGCGGAAAGAGAGAATAGGGCATGCATTCTTGGCAGTTTACTCTAGCAAGTTAACATTGGCTATATGGAGGGGAAATTGTGGGAGAGAAGGCTGAATTAGGTAGGTGGAGTCATATTTTGAAAACACTTAATGTCATGCTAAGGAATTTGAATGCAGTCCTATAGAGCAGTGATCTCCAAAATGGGATGTTCTCAAGGCCAGGAGGTATGAGGTACGGACTACCAGAGGAAAACACTGGAATCTCTAGTTCTTTTCATTTTGTCTCTTCTTTTTTAAATGTCTATTCTTGTGTGTTATATAAAGGGCATATTGTATCATTAATAGTGATTCATGTATTTTAAAATACATTTTAAAAGTAAGTAGGAATAAGTGGATATGTTCAACATTTTTTATGTTTGGAGAACACTATTTTTTATTTTGTCTTGTTCCCCCCATTTTCCCCTCTCCTACCTACCCCCACCCTGGAGTACACTATTTTGGGCTGGCTTTAAGCAGGGAAATGAAATATGCAGTGGAACTAGAGTATGGATTAGAACAAGGGAAAACTGGAGTGCGAGAGCGGGACCAGTTAAGAGACTGGGAAAATATTTCAAGGCCTGAACTAAGATAGTGCAGTGGAGCTAAAAGAGGAGGACATGGGGGTCGGTGAGATGCTGGGTAAGGGACTGGGCAAGAGAGGGAAGAAAGACATCATTCCTAGACTGGGCAGATTTTTGACTTCAGATCCTGCCTGTATGGTGGTGACACTGTGATTAAGCTAAGGATCACAGGAAGGATATTTCGCTCTCAACCTAAAGATTATCACATTTGTTACAGATGACTTGGTCATTCCATCCTGCACCTAATGCCCCAAACTCAGTAAAAACAAAATGGCAGTTGGCCTTTTGCCATACACTTTGGGGACTGCAGACTGAGAATCTTTTCCAAGCATTTTCAACCAAAATTGAGCATAGTGAAGTTTCCATTGCAGTCAGCCATTGGTGTTTATTTTGTTAAAGCAACAAACTACTCTTGGGTATAGGATTGGTATTGGACCACATAGGAAAATGTAAATTGTGACCATTCATAGTCATAACCAAGTAACTGAATTCATTAGTTCCATATGGGCAGGGGCGGAGTACAGGGTGGTGATTTGGATCATAGCCATGGTTTGTAGAAGTGCTGGGTGGGTAAAAGCATGTTAGTTACCTTGCCCTGACAGTTTTTTCCAGGGGAGTAAGTATGTTTTCCTTTCTCCTTGCTGTAGGAAATTATTTGCCAGATTGTGTTATTTATAACAATCTGTCATGGAACAGCTGCCAGGAAAAGAAAAGAGGCTATTCCCAGTAGCTCTCCCCACCTCCCACCCCACCATTACCACCACACACACATGCATCCGGTTTTCTGATTTAACTTTTGTTTTTTTTCTTCTAGTTTTACCCAGTGGTTTTGGCTTGATTGAAAATATTCTAGTAATGAGAGATTTTTGGGCTTTGCCATGGCTTGGTAATTGGGTTTTCCCTGCTTAATTTGTTTGCTTTAGCCAAAACTAACAGGCAGCAGTTTGAGCTTGAATTCCTGGGTGTCTTGAATTCCCCCCAAACACTAATGTGCTATCTTCCACCTTCCCTTGAAGACCTTGTATGTTTCTACTTTGTCAAAAATACACAAATTTGCCTTCATTTAGAGCTGTGCTTTTTGCCCTTGATATTGCCTTGGCTTCTCTGGTGGAACAGGCTTGGGATAAGGTATACTGAGGACTCTTAAAATAGTAAGTAGGGAGGTCTGTGGGGATTTCAGTTTGCCTCTGCAGGAGAAGAGGCGTACTGTTGGTGTTAGAAAAGAAGTGGTAACCCAAAACACAAGGCAACTGAGGGTTGGTGTGTCCAGGGCAATTTAAAGTTAATTGCATTTCAGATATACTGTACAGTTGCTTTACAGTCCAAACAGTCTATGTTTATTCATTGCTTGTGGTCACACGTGATCAGAAATACTTCTGGCTCTTAACAATTTTTCAGCTTTTCTCTCTGGGCTCCTGTTAGTAGAAGAACATTTGCATTTCTAGAATGGGCTTTACATTTTTAGAATAAAAATCAAAACAATAGTTATTTATTTTCTTTCTCTTATAGCTTATAACGACGATTTTCAACCTTTTTCATCTCATGGCATACATAAATTAATTACTAAAATTTGCGGCACACCCAAAAATATATTTTTTGCCAATCTGACTGAAAAAAGAAGGTATAAATTTGATTCATTCACACCAGCCGGCTATTGTCTTATTGGCTGTGTCATTTTTTTAACTTGACAGTCTAAAGGAAAAGAGGCCAGTGCCCCTGACTAAATAGTCAGGTATTGCATGTTATAAAAATTCTTGCGGCACATTGGTGTGACTTTTGTGGCACACTGGTTGAAAATCGCTGGCTTATAAAAATGTAAAGGAAAATGGATAGTATTATGAAGATGCGACACAAAGATGTGAAGACTATTTAGTTTTCCTTTTAGACTTTTGTTTCTTCTTCCAGGATTTCCAGCTTTGGAAACAAAGTACATTGATCAGATAGTAAAGACTTCCCTTTGGAAGTGGTGGAGTCACAAAGAGGATGGGCATGTATTTGGTCTCAGTGAGTCTTATATGGTGCATTCTTTGGGAACATAAGCAGGAGAGGGCCTGACGGATAGCACCTCCATCTGTATCCCAGACCTTGACCTTTCAGACTGATGCCTTTCTTTTCACACTGAGAACAGATGGCAACCAGACATTTGGAGGAGGGGTCTGTTGCTTCTGTTCCTTGGGGATTTTGCATTGAGCTTAGCAAAAAGTTGTCTAAAAGCGAAGAGGAAAATGAGGCTGTGGACCATTCACAATTATGCAGAACTTGTTTGGCATTCACTATACTGACGGGGTTTTTTTTTGCAGATATTGAATGATAACATTTCTTTTCCAAGACAACATTGACACCACTTCAGAGGCATCTGCTTTGGGGTCATTTTCTTCACTTTGTAGTATACTTAAAAATTGAATTTCTTGAAGAACAATCAGCTTGCAAAACTGTCCTCTTATTATTAAAGAAGCTTAGAGAAATAGAAAGGATAAGAAATATGAGGCCTACCTATCACAGTGTCTGGCACATAATAGGCACTTAGTAAATTGATGAATGAATGGCTTAATAAATCCATGCATAAAAAAATTTTTCTCGCCCTCAGTACAGTTCAGTTAAAATAACTCCATTTATTTTACTTATTTTACTACTATAAAAAAGGTTTGAAAATAAGTGCATGTTTCTAAGCCATTGTAATTTATCCCGTGATGATTTGTGTGATCCATTGTCCTTTGTGATATTGACTTTCCCCTTTTTCTTTTGACAGACAGATGTACTGGTCCTGAGCTGTGATCTAATAACAAATGTTGCCTTACATGAGGTTGTGGACCTATTCAGAGCTCATGATGCTTCACTCGCCATGTTAATGAGAAAAGGTCAAGATGGCATAGAACCAGTTCCAGGTCAAAAGGGGAAAAAAAAAGCAGGTAAGGAGACAGGAGTGTGATTTGTTTGTTGGGTTTTTATAATTATTATTGTCATTCATACTTTCTCTTAAGAAGCATTTATTGAAAACTGACTCAGTGCAGGCACTGTGCTAGCAGTTGATGATGTAAAGTCCAATAAGACACAGTAGCTGACTTGAAGAGGTTTATAACTATTGATTAGATTCTGTAAGGTCCATGAGGCTTTTGTATGCAGAGCAGAGCATTCAGAACTGTTTGCATTGTGTCTGAGGCTCAAGTAATCCAGTGCATATATCTAAGAATCAAAAAACTTAATTTTAGCCCTAGCCGGTTTTGCTCAGTGGTTAGAGCATTGGCCTGCAGACTAAAGGGTCCTGGGTTTGATTCCAACCAAGGGCACTTACCTTGGTTGCAGACTCGATCCCCGGCCCCCATCAGGGCGTGTGCAGGAGGCAACCAATTGATGACACATCAATGTTTCTCTCTCTCCTTCCACTGTCTCTGAAAAGCAATGGAAAATATATCCTCAGGTGAGGATTAAAAAGTAAAATTTTAATTTTAAAACAAGTTTTTAAAAACATTTAAAGTTTGATTGCAAATTTAACTAGATACCTTTAAGCAATTAGAATTACTATTACAAAGGTATTATGGTTGATTCTTTTGAATGGTCCAATCACCCTAAATAAATAAGATAGTCATTAGCCATGCTTTGTCTTCTTAGGATTACAACACACTTATCTTTATATTTTCCTAAGATTCTAGTAGTAGGTTAATTTTTTTTTAATCTTCAAAGAGTTATAGTAACCTTAATAGACCAAAAAGAAAAGGAAAAATACTCTAGTCACTCAAGGTTATAGAATTTGGGTTATTGACTAGTTGATTTTGGTTAAAGCATAGTTCCTTATTGCTTTTCCTAGGATATTTCAAACCTGAGCCACTGATTCTGTGACTGGACTACTTTTAATAACTGAACTTACGACCAAAAAGCTTTGTAAGATCATACTTTTTAGGTTTTAGTTTTTCCTGGAATGATGTGTTTTTACCCTGGAGTTTTTCCCAGGAATAATGAGTTCTTTAGATTTTGCTTATCCAGCATTATGTAACCCATTGTCCTATCATTATATAATTGATGTAGTCTCTTACAATTACCAGGGCTTATTAGTATCCTACTATTAATAGAGCCACTTAGAACTTTCATTTCTAGGACTTGAGTAATCTAGTCTGTGTTTTTAGCTTTCTTTATGCTTTAGGGCATTTGGTTAACTTACAATTTTGGATGATAGCATTGAAACTTCTTTCTAGTTGCTTTTTGTTTCAGGTAATCACTGGTGCAGATTAATTGTTGGATCCCCTTTCTACCTTATTATTATGTATAATCCTCATATCAGGCATTCCTTTCATTCTTGACATATTTTTTACTTTTGCAAGGTCTGGTTTGCTTACTCATAATTCCCTGTATTCAACCTTTTCAGCTTACACAGATAGGAACACTGTATATCCAAACTTTATAAACAGATGTACATTTTATAAATATAATTTTTAATATTCTCCTCTATTTATAATAATTTTAAAAATCAAATACCCTGTTAGAGTTACTCTTCTTGGTATTAGAATGTTTTAGTACATTTTATGTTAGCTTTTATCTCTTAGGTATCATCATAAATGCATAGCCTTTTACAATTTTATTTTAAATGAACTGTAACTATTATCTATCTGCCCATCCATTTTAAAGTGTTTTGATGCTTAAGTTGTCGCAACCTGGCCAGTGGAAGTTCCTTTAAGCTGGCTCTTTTATCATCCTCTTTGAAAAAGTATGATGTATACTGGTAACTTGCTCTTTAACTAGAGTGTGAGCATGGAGGGCAGGGAAGCAGGAAATGGGAGTGGAGAGGAAACAGGGATCATACTAAAGAGCTTGAACTTTATCCCCAAAAGAGTGAGGAGTTACTGAGGAATTTTAAACAAGAGAATGCCATAATTTGATTTGTGTTTTAGAAAGATTTTTCATTCTTTTTTTTTTTATATGTCTTTATTGATTTCAGAGAGAGGAAGGGAGAGAGAGAGATAGAAATATCAATGATGAGAGAGTCATTGATCAGCTGCCTCCTGCACACCCCCAGCTGGGGATCAAGCCCACAACCCGGGCATGTGCCCTGACTGGGAATCGAACCTCGATCCCCTGGATCCTAGGTCGATGCTCAACCGCTGAGCCACGCCCAGCCGGGCAAGATTTTTCATTCTTAACAAGAAATTTCAAACTTCTAATTTTCTATATTTTGTTATATTTGAAGACTAAACTTTCACCTAAATAACCTGGGTTTTGAATTCCTCCCATGGGATGCTATGCATTTTAGTGATAAGCATTTTTTTAAAGAATCCTAAATTTCTCAGACTGTGTATTTGGTCTGTTTCTTGGCTACTAGGTCCGAGTTTCCCAAATCACCATTTACTGACTTATAGGAGTATGGCTGTGACTAGATGTTTAGGAGCCATCTATTTCCCACTTGCCACTCAGTAGATACTGAGGAAGGCAGGATCAAATTCGTGTTTGGGTTTTTGGACTATTTTTTTCCTGCTACATGCTGTTACACATGTTCTTTGCCTGAAATGCTCTCCATCCTCTCCTCTCCCACAACACACACACTCTAAAACCAGCTTAGCCTTCAAATTAGACTCTGAACGAGGCCTTCCTTGATCCTCAAATGTGAAATTATATCCTGTTATTTGCCTGTATATGGTAGCCCTGCCCTCTTATTTACTCTCTCCTCTACTGGACTGTAAGCTCCATGAAAGCAGGGATCATGTCTGTTTTGTTCTCTTTATCTCCGGGATCTGGCCCAGTTATGGCCCATGGTGAGCAGTCAGTAGATATTACTGAATGATTGAGGGATCTGCCTATAAAGGCAGCTCTTCTTGCCCCCAAGTAAGAGAAAGTAGATTCAAGCCCTAGCAGTTTAAATCCTAAAACTGTGAGTCTGAGCTGTTGTTGGATTCATGCATGGGTATTATAAGAGCACAAATTTATAATGATTTTGTAGACTGATACTACATTGTCTATTAATTTATGTTTAGAAATGTTTTCAAGATTTTAAAATAAACACCTACTGCTGTAGCATGGCAGTTAAGAGCACAAGCTCTAGACTTTAGACTGTGTAGCTTTCAATGCCCCCCAAACTGTATGATATTGGGCAAATTATCTAACCATCTTGAGCTGAAGCTGTAAAGTGCAACTGAATCCTTTCAGGATTTTTTTGTGAGAAACAAGGTGTTTGTAAAGCATTCTGTTTACTCCTTGAGACATAGTAGTTGCTTAATAAATCGTAATTGCTATTCCTATCATCATTATCACTTTCACATGTATTTTAGAAATACTCCTATTGGAAGTAATTTGGTCCTGTAGCCTAAAAAATCACATTTAATAATTTTGCGAGCATTCTATGTTGTTTTGGAAGGGAATTTTTTATATTTTATGTAAAATGGCAATCCTTTAAAGGCCACAATATATCAAAATGGTTTTGTTTGCATTATAGCTTATCGGTTTATAGGGAAATTAATAGCGACAGCCTAAATGTCTAGTCTGGCCTCTTTGGAAGGGTCACATGTAACTTTTTCTGGTGATTCAAACGGGCTGTGCTTTCTAAAGCCTTTTTTAGGTATCAACTTCTCAGAAAAAAAGATTGAATGACTTAGAGGTGTAAGAGGGACCCAGAAACTCAGCTAAGCTGTGCAGGGAAATGGGGTATATAAACTCTGGCAGATCCTATGTACTGATGGTTGCAGCATTGAGTACCCAACTGAAATATAAAATCTGCCACTTGTCAGTATTTAGCCATTGTTCCGTCATTGCTGAGTATTACTTATTGAATGAATGGGACAACAGATCAGTTTAATATAGTTACTGGGTATGTGTTATGCCAAGCGCAGAACTAGGTACCAAGGCCCATATAAATGGGGGCAGGGGGAACCTATATAATATCTCTAGCTAAAGGGTAGGCAGACAAGTGTTCATTAGACCCTCCCTAATCGTAGGACATTTTGAGAAACCTGAAACCTGAAGGGAAAAATTGGATAGAAACTGTGATCTTGAGAGAACCAATGAAAGCCTCGTATATGTAATCTTCGCAGTCACAAAAATCAAACAGTAAAGCTAACACATTATATAAAGAGAATGTCAGTGATACTATAAAACATATATATCTTAAACTTGCAATGATGTGTAAAGATCATTAATTCCCATTTAGCATCCCTTGCTTGTTAGGAACTTCAAGATTTCCTTTTTTCCTCTGTTTCAGTGAGAACATAGTATATTTACTTTTGCTTTGTTACAGATAACATGTTTATTAAGGGGCTTGTCTTTTTGGTATATTCCTCTGTGCAGATGTTTTGTGCTATTATGATTTTATGACACAAATTTTTAACTGTTATCTCTGTAGTTCCACTGTGTCTCTTGGGATATTTGAAATGAAAAAAATTACAGGAAACTTTTATTTAACCCAGTTTACTGTAGTAGTATTTCTCAAATTCCTCTCCAGTTCTCAGAGTTATATAGTCTTAATCCAGACTAGAATCTGTATATATTAGTGTATGTCAGAATCACACAAGTGAAAGCTGTCACTTGGCTGTCACCTCTCAATCAACTTAGCTCCCTCTGCACTAACAAATATTGGTAGGCAGTTCTGAGCCTGTGTTTCTTTTGCTTCAGCTCCCTTCATTTTTCTTAAAGCTGTACTGCAAAAAAACTTCTACTCCTGCTTGGGCTTCTGCTTGATCTATTTTCTAAATTCTCACTCTCCCCCCTGCTCCTTTTTTCCTAATTATATCCAACAGAAGTGACTTGAAATCCCTGCATATTCAAAACTGAAATTATTATTATTATTATTATTTTTTAGAGAGAGGAAGGGAGAGAGAGAGAGAGAGAGAAACATAATGTAAGAGAAAAACATCAACCTGCTGCCCCTTACATGCCCCCTACTGGAGATTGAGCCCACCACCCAGGCATGTGTCCTGACTGGAAATCGAACCAGCATCCCTGACTGGGATGACACTCAACCAACTGACCCACACTGGCCAGAGCCAAAACTGAAATTCTTGTGATTGAGGAAACAATATACAAAAGTCTGTTCAAATGTACCTAGAATTCATCAGTCGCAATGTGCAAAATACAGGGAGCAATTTAATGTTATAGGAAAATATATTTTAAAACACAATATTTAAAAAGAGGTAAGCAATTTACTTATGTGCAAACGGGGTAGTGGGTATGAAATCAGATCCCTGACCTACAAATGCTTTTTTTAAAAAATATATCTCTATTGATTTCAGGGAGAGGAAGGGAAAGGGAGAGAAAGAGATAGAAACATCAATGATGAGAGAGTCATCGATCGGCTGCCTCCTGCACCCCCCCCCACTGGGGATAAAGCCACAACCCGGGCATGTGCCCTGACCAGGAATCAAACCCCTATCTCTTGGATCCTAGGTCGATGCTCAACCACTGAGCCACGCTGGATGGGTCAAATGCATTACATTTTGTTATAGTCATTGCATTTAAGACATACTATACATATTATCTGTGCTAAACTAAGCCCTATATGGGAAACAGAGATAATCAAGATTTGCTCTCAAACTAAAATCCAGTGAATGGAACTAGATAGTTTTGTTATTTACCAAGTTTTTATATCCATTAGTGGCCTAATAGCATTTTGTGAATAGTTGTTCAAGACCACATCAGTGATAAGTGGTAGAATCAGAACTTGAGCCCATGCCTTCCAACACCATAACCTGGGCTTTCTTTTTTTAATTTAGTTTTCATTTTTATCAAGGTTTTATATTCTCATAATTTTAAAGAGTGATATAATTTTCCAAAAGTGTTTTGCAAGGCTGAAATCAGGGTGTCAGCCAGGACTGACGTCTCATCTGAAGGCTCAACTAGAAAAGGATTTCTTCTAAGCTTACTTGTTTGTTGGTAGAATTTCAGTTCCCTAAGGGCTGTTGGACAGAGAATCTCAGTTTCTAACTAGTTGTTAGCTAGAGGCCGCCCTCACTTTTTTTTTAATCACTTGGGCCTCTCTCCACATAGCAAACATAATGCCTGTCACAGGGGAGGTGCACAAATATACTTTTTAGTTGAATGAATAAATGGATAAGTAAATGACTATAGAGGAAACAGAAGGGTTCAAAGAAGTAAAAAACAACTTCAAAATATGAATAGTTGAATATGACGGAATTTTTAAAAATGGAACTTCATAGTTTTAACTGTTGTCTTAACATTATTTGTGTGGTCTTTCTTCCTAGGATGAGTATTCTAGTTACCTGCTCTGCTCTCAAAGTGGAATTCACTTTGTTAAAGCAGAACAGAGACATTTTCAAGTTCCTATAATTTGTATCATATTCTGAGACCCCTGTTACTACAGTAGCTACCAAGAAGCAAGTAGAAAAAGTGGGGCCTGAGAGTGAGGGGAATGTGACTGAAGGGCATCGTAACTGGAAAAAGGACTTGTTGAAAATTATTGCTCCCAGGACATTCAATAATTCAAGGTTTTTGTGGGCCTAAGGACTTGGATAGGGTAAGCACTCCAAATTATATCCAAAAATAACATCTCTGTGTTTCTTTTTAAAATACTGGTTCAGCCCGGCTGGGCGTGGCTCAGCAGTTGAGCGTTGACCTGGGATCCAGGCGATCAGGGTTCGATTCCCGGTCAGGGCACATGCCCGGTTGTGGGCTTGATAATGACTCTCTCATCATTGATGTTTCTGTCTCTCTCTCTCTCCCTCTCCTTTCCTCTCTCTGAAATTAATAAAGATATATTTAAAAAAATTAAATAAATAAAATAAAATACTGGTTCATCACCAGACCTTTGCAGGCTTTGTTATGCTCTCATATTTCCATGTAATAGATAAATGAATGAATTGATATATGTCAAAGCATTTGAAATTCTTTGCAGTTTTTAGCTTTGATTGAAAGTCTCTATAAAAGTTACCTTCAAGTTGGCATTATTTACCCTTCTTTCTTTGGAGTTCACTCATCTTAGATATTGAAAAAAATAACATGACTTTTTATGGTGGCTTCTCCCTATTCATATTCAAACACTACAGATAATAAGATGACCAGAGACCATCCAAAGAAATGAATGCTTTAGCCCCTGAGCTAAACACATTATACACTTGAGTAATACATTTGGTTCTAGATATAGAGGCAGCTGAAGGCAACAAGAAAGCATGATTAATTATATGGTAGTCATTACCTGTCAATAGGAGGCAGATAAATTCATCTTTAGAGATAACATTCTTCCCCAAATTCAACTTTCACTTTCTCCTTTTCAAAGAGGTGTTAAGTCATTGTTTTATTTGATTTTTGTGAGGATCAAATGAGAGCATGTATTAACTTATTTAGTCCTTATAACAAGCCTTTGAGGTAGGCACTGTTATTATCCCCACTTTACAAATGAAACTGAGGAACAGAGAGGTTTAGTATCTTGCTCAAAGACATACACCCAGTAAGTGGTATTCATACCCAAGTGGTCTGGCTTCAAAGGCTCTCTTAACTATATGCTATGCAGCCTCTATGTGAAAATGCTCTTGTAAGCTATAGATAGGTACTCTATAGATCTTAGCAGATTTTGTTAAGTGTCCAATACTGTATTGGATTTATATCTAAAGGAATTATAAGCCTTTATTTGAAGAGCTTATAATGTGGTTGGGGTGAAGAAGTGTAGCGCAGAAAACAGCAGTAATAAGGCAGCCTGCAAAATCTCCATCTACCAGATAACATTAAATGTACAATTTAATATTTTCTTTAAATGATCCCATACACAGCATAAAATCTAGTGCATAGACGTGGCTGCCATGGCTCGGTGGTTGACACATCTGCCCATGCACTTCCTGAAGGGTCTCGGGTGCAATTCCCCGTCAAGGGCACATACCTGGGTTGCAGGTTCCCCGCCCCGGTTGGGGCATGTGTGGGAGGCAACCAATTGATGTGGCTTTCTCACATTGATGTTTCTCTGTCCTCTCTCTCTCCCCCTCCCCACCTCCCTTCCACTCTCTCTAGAATCAATGGAAAAAATAACCAAAAAAGAATCTAGTGCATAGTAGACATATAGTTAATGTTGGTTGAATGTGGATGTCCTTAAATAATGTTATTTCCATTTTCACAGCAGACCTAGATGATTGCTTGCAAAGAAAGATTTCCTTGTACTTTCTTATTGTGCCATGTGGTAGGCTTGTGGTTCATCCACTTAATTGGTTATACCTTGATGGCCCCTCTTTTTTTAAACTTTTTATTTATTTATTTATTTATTTATTTATAGTAAAAATTATATATATTTAAGGTTTACAAGGTGACATTTTGGTAAATGTAGACTTTGTGAAGTGATTACGGCACACTAACATATCTGTCACCTCCTTAGCTTTTTATTTTTTAAATAATTTCAAATTTACAGAATGGTTACAAGAATAGTATAAAGAACTTATATATCCTTCACCCAAATTCCCCAAAATGTTAATATTTGCTTTATCATTCTCTCTCATACTATATATTCAAGAGATATCATAAGCATACACAATGTATATATAATTATTATTTTTCTGAGCTATTTGTGAATAAGTTGCAGGCACCATTCCCTTTGCCTTTAAATACACGAATATGTATCCTTTCCCTTCATTCTCTACTCCCCCCAAAAAAGGACAGATCTCTTAAAATAGGAAATTACATTGACACAATACTTTAATTTACAGAACTTACTTAAAATTCACAGTTACTCTAATAATATCCTGAACAATAAAAAAATTTTGACTGCCTGTGTTTTAAACATTGTAATGAGTATGTGCTATATAACACTCAATTCTGAATTTAGTTCCAAGAGAAATGTGAGCAAGTGCCCCATCCCCTGACTTTGTTTGATTTTCCTTCTTTTGAATGATTCAGTGGAGCAGCGTGACTTCATTGGAGTGGACAGCACAGGAAGGAGGCTGCTCTTCATGGCTAATGAAGCAGACTTGGATGAAGAGCTGGTCATTAAGGGATCCATCCTGCAGAAGTAAGCCCTAGGGTTTTTCTTCTTGGCAATTCTTCTTGTCTTAAAACAAAATAAAACCACCCAGTGGATGGGAAAGAGGGAATGAAAACTAGATTATACTGTGTGAAATTAACAAAAGTATGTGAATGTTTTCCCGTGAGATAGAATGAAGACTTTCCTTCACCACACAAGCTTAGCTTTTCCCTGTGTCTTTTCTTGCCAAGGTAGAGTCAAATCCTGCATAGGAGTGGGGCAAAGCAGCTGTGGGGAAAACAGGGAGCAGCACTGTTTTTCTGACAATGTTATAGAACTTCCTTTTTAAAAAAAAAAAATGGTGACCAACTCACAACATAAAATTTACTATCTTAAACATTTTTAAATATATCTTTCTTGATTTCAGAGAGAGGAAAGGAGAGGGAGGGAGAGAGAGAGAAACATCAATGATAAGAAAGTCATTGATCAGCTGCCTCCTGCACGTCCCCCACTGGGGATCAAAGCCCGCAACCCGGGCATGTGCCCTGACCTGGGATCGAACCCTGACCGCCTGGATCCTAAGTCGACACTCAACCGTTGAGCCACGCCCAGCCGGGCACTATCTTAAGCATTTTTAAGTGTACATTTCAGTAATGTTAGTATATTCACATTGTTGTGAAACAGGAAGTATGGGTGTATGAGGTAGAGGCAGGGCAGGTGATGAAAGAAAGACAAATCCTCATCTTCCATAGTGGGAAATCAACAGATGAGGTCTGAAGTGAGAAAACTAAGAAATATCATTATAAGAATGTTATTAGAAATGCATATATATTAAATGGATCTGCAAAAAAGAATTGAAAGTGGGTGCTTCTGGGTAACAGAAAATGGAGAGGAGAGGGAACAGAGGACTGACATTTTTCATTGTAAGCCTTGAGAAACTATTTGCTAGTGCATATATAACTTCAATTTTAGTTTTTAGAATTACAGAACTGTGTAACACAATAAGATTTCCTAAATCAAGTAAAAATCTGCTAATTTTAAGAGTATAGTGTATTCTAAGAAAATCTGGCCAGATGTATCATTGTAAATTTATGAAACTTTAAGGATAAGGAAAGAATTCTTCAACCATCTAGAGGCAAAAAGGTAATCACTTACATGAGAATGAAAATTAAGCTTATCTCCAAGTTCTTTATAGCATTCAATACCAAAAGAATAATATCACAGAATTCTCTGGAAGTGAAACTCAAGAATATTATAAATAATGGCCTGGCTGGTATGGCTCAGTGGATAGCGTGTCAGCCCGTGCACCCAGGGGTCTCAGGTTCAATTTCCGGTCAGGGCGCATGCCTGGGCTGCTGACTCAATCCCCAGTAGGGGGCATGCAGGACAAGGCCAATTGATGTTTCTCTCTCTCCCTCTCCCTTCCCCTTTCTCTAAAAATAAATAAAAACATATTTTTTAAAAAGGATAGATTTGGATCAGATATGGAAAGGGACATGAGAAACTGAATCCTGTGTGGGAGAGTGCTATGAGCAAAGGTGTGGAGACAGAGTGTGCAAGACTTGTTTAGGAGCATTTTGGCCCAAATGGAAGATTGTTATTTGGGAGCACTAGAAGATAAGAATGGAAAATTAAGTCGGTACAGAAAGCCTTGACTACCAGGAAATTATTAAAGACTTTTGAGGAGGGAAATGATGGTTCAAATTCAGGATTCTGTAAAGATCTGATAGCAGTAAGCAAGATAGATTTAAAATATAAGACCTGAAAAGTATCACAGTGTTGTATTGTTAAATTCACAAGACTTCATAGGGTAAAGGAATTGTGTCCTTTCAAATGCAGAAAGAAGTAATTGTGATTATCTATTATCATGTGGAACAATGGACCTTACTCATTATGCATCCATCAGGCATTGGTGTTTATACTTTGCTCTGCATTAGAGTTGTCAGGCTTATACAGTAAATTCTTAGAAGCTACTCATGTTTCTATAGTTACAACTAGAGAGTGGAAACTGTCTCCTGCTTTCTCTTTAACCTCCCAGGGAACTAGCTTATGGCTCCATATGGTGGACTATTAGTAAATGCCTAAGTCCCAGTGATCCCTGCCAAAAAGAGCAAGGTTTGGGCATGATGGGAGCAAAGAAGATGGATATAGCCAGAGGTAAGGTAAAAATGAAGAGCAGATGGAGCTGTATTTTCCCCTCAGAGCTGTTGAACTTGGGGCCTTGGGTAAGCACTGGGGCCATTAAGACCAGATCTTCTACTAGTTTCCTAAGACTAGACTGCTTTTTTGGTTGTTGGAAGGTTTTTCCCTCCATTCTTCTAACTTGTAATCTACACCCCAGTGATTCAAGATCTTTGGAGTGTAGTTGTCATAGGGCAGCTGGCTAGATAAATGAGCAATGAAATGTTTTTCCCCCTATTCGTATGACCCTCTGGGGCATTGTACTCCTCCTGGCCTCAGTGAGATGGTAGGTAAAAGCTAATTAGATTCAGATTTTTTTTTCAAACACTTTTGACTATGAGAATCCAATACTTCCTGTCCTTTTTTAAAACTGAATTTCCAAAAGTGAGGACTAGTTCCTATTAGGCAGACACTGAATCTTGGAAAAGGCCTTTGTGTATATATCTGAGAGAGCCAGAAACCTCTTGTTTTAAAGTTTTCTTACTTTTGTAGTGGTTGTAGGAGAAAAGGGCAATGATGATGGAATGTACACCCTTTGATTTCTCCCTTTCTGAGAAAGGATGACGTGTTTGCTTGATTACAAGAGAATGTTCTGTTTTGTTGGGCCTCAGGAATATTTGATCCTGGAAAGTGAAATAGTGTAAGACACCTGTTGGAGTAGGAGTCCTGCTAAGCCTATAGTTAGGTACAGAGGCAGTCTCCCCAGCAAGCTGTCTAGTCACCAGGTAGTACTGGTAACTTGACTCCAATGGACCCAGATTCTTACTGTCTCAGTGCGTTTAAAGAAAGCATAAAACCTTCCCCAAATGTTGACTTTAATGCATTACTGACTAGGAGAGGCATTATATGTAATAGAAAAGAATGTTGCTGGTAGAAGGCATGGTATTGGAAATTCAAGACCAGAGAATTTGGAATTTAGTCTTGAGAAAAACCAGCTATATGACCTTGAGCAAATCACTTTGCTTCTTCTCTAAGCCTCAGTTTTCCCAACTAAAATTGACTTAGTTCTTTAAAGACACACCCCCTCCAGCTCTAAAATTCCTGTTTTATTTCTGAAACACATGTGTTTTTAATAATTCATAAGTAAAAGGTATTTCTGCCAAATATTTAATAAGAAAATCATGTAGCTTTTCTCCAATGTTATGTTGTTTTCTTTTGAATACTAGTCAAGGTTTTTTTGTTTGTTTTCTTTACTGGAAGAGTAATGAAAAATTAAAACAAGCTTCTAAAGGATATCTTTTAAATGGAATAAAATGTTCACACATTCATCTTGGAAAGTTTAGACATTTATATCAGGGAAGACAAGAACTTGAATGAGATCTCCAAGATCATGGCCAGATCTGTATTTCAGGGATGATGATATGATGAAAAATGGGTTTACACTCTTGATTACTTTCCCAATGGTATGGAAAGTCGTGAAATACTATTTATTTAAATTAGTATCCTCATGGCTGCAAACCAGCCATAAATTCTTAAAGTATTTCTCTAATTTTGCAGTTTTGTCGGGGAGGAGTGCAGAGGGACTTGTAGAAGTCAGGATCAAGAACCTTTCCCAAGGTATCTTGTCCAGTGTAGCAGTGAGACTTTTATTCTTATTTTTCTATACTTTTAACTCTCACTGCTATGAAGTCATACATCCTTAAGCCTTTTCCTTAAGCCAATTCCTGATCATTTCAGGGCTTCTGCAGTACAAATCAGGCTGCTACTCAACTTTCCTTAGAGCTGGTTTAGATTTCAGCTTTCTTAGATATGCTAAATCTGTTACCACCATTCTTCTGCTTTCTAGCTTTCAAATTTTTGTTTCTGTCCTCTCTTTTCCTCATCTTTGTCCTTGGGGGTTATGCCTTTTTAAAAACAACAAAACCCTTTACTGTCACTTTAATGAGCTTTCAAAAGGAATAGGGCTGCATGCCTGTGTTTAATCTGCCATCTTTATGTAGAATCCTGTTTCCTTCATTTCAATCCCATTATGTCTTTCATTCCCTCACCAGCCCTTCCCTCCTTCCCC